GGGGGGGGGGGGGGGGGGTTGACCAGACCAATACTTCCCATGATGAAAACAGAAGAGCGAGGCAACATTACAAATCGACGCGGTAAACGATGTGCCACCTCACGCGCGGGCGCACTCACCCAGCAGTGATAGCAACGAGCCCACCGAGCACCCCGTTGTTGGCCGCCGTGATGTCCACGTACCCGATTCGGAGGTAGGCCACGGCGACGGAGGTGACGCAAGCGACGCCTCCGGCGATGGTCGTGTTCACCCTACGTGCAAGGTGAAAACCACCACCGATGAGGCACGCAGTGGGGGGAGAAGAATAGCTATCCAAATTACATGGTAAGGCTTGCCCTTAAGGGAAGTGGATAAGGGTCTCAAGTCCACTTTTGCACGACGTCGATGTCAAGACCCACGCCAAGACAGCGGGCACGACTTGCAACTTGGTTTGGAAAAGTGGTCCAGAATCCATCCCTCCCTGTGGCATGACAACCAACTGTCACCCCGTTCCCATAGAGCACGCCTACTACGCCGCGGCACGACTGGTGCCGCTGCAGGCTTGCATAAACGGTTCATTGGCAGCGATCCAACTTGGAATGAATCTTACGAGGGTGCCCAAAGCACCCAACGGAAGGGGGGGGGACTCACATCGCACGCGCCGCCACCTCTCCCAGGCCAACGATGGCGAGAGTGCTGTAGGGTTCGTTGTTGGTTCAACGCAGACCGTGTGCCGTGCCCAGCAGGAGTGCAAGCACATCGTAGTGAGTCAGTCGCGCCCCGACAGCGGGCAGGCCGTCGTAAAAGCACGATGGTCGCGAGAGCAGGAGACCGAATGTTCACCACCGGTATCGGAAGACCCGCATATGTATCGTCGCAGTAAAGCATCGATCACGGCAAACCGCGGGCGTACGAGGGCAAACAAGAGCCATGGCGGACGCAGGGCGGCGCGAGGCAAATGGGCAGGCAAATGAATTCAGTCGCAAGTTGCGTCAATCGGTACGTGCTGGGTAGAGGGGGGTGCGCGGTAGCCAGACAAAACGTGCGGAATGGAGTGACAGACGGCGCGCAGGACACATCAACAAATGCCTCCCTGACGATATGCGAGTAACGTGTCGGGAGTGAAACCGCTGTGTTGGGAAACAAAGGACCAAGGGATTTTTTTTCACATTTTGTGATCTGAATGGTCCTTTAATTTCCAAACAGGGTAAGTGGTACGTGAGACGGCATGGCTGAGGAACATTGAAAGCGATTGCTGATACAAAAAAGGGGGTGCAAAACGCAACAAATCTCTCTGAAGATTGCAAACACAAGCTTCCATTCCCCGTGTTGTGTTACCTCACGCCGTTGAAGCCGTACCACCCCATCCAAAGGCACAGCGTCCCGAGAGTCTGACGTAGTTTTTTTTATTGGAAGGAGCGGAGGCAAGGGATGGCATGACGAGAGAGAGCACGCGGTTACGAAGTCGGGTAGATATGATGCCGTCGTTGCTGCAGAGATAGAACGTGCATGGGTCCTTGAGCACCTACCGCGGCAGAGAGCCGGCAGTCAGCAATATCAGTTTGGTCTGCAGGTGGGCCGGTGCGATAGACCTCTCTCTTGGAAGGGAATTCATACATGAACGCAGGAATATGATAAATGAAATGACCACTCAATTGACCTTGCCTCGTCGGTTTGAACTTACGAGTCCACTACCGCGACGTGAGAAATGGCGAGCGGATGAAATACATCGGGTCGGACAGTAGACAAGCATCACAAAAAAGAGGTTTCACCAATTGCGATAGTGTCTGGTGCAAGAGGCTCCGTGGAATACCCACCTCCTGCAATCTACCTCACCGTGTCACATCACTTGCCACACACCTGGTACACGAAGCTGAGCTGGGGCAGCTCGACGGGGATGCCGTCGATGAAACGGCCGGAGCGGGGTCCGAGGAGGATGGCTCCGACCAAGGCGGCGGTGCCCCCGGTCATGTGTACGACGCCGGAGCCGGCGAAGTCGAGGACACCGCAGTCCATGAGGAGCTCCGTCTCCCTGTTCCGGCATTTCGTTTATTTTGTGTTTGAACAAAAGAGCATGGAATCTCTAGATGATTCCTGGACCCGTTCGAGACAATCCCCTCATGAAATGGGGTGTGTTCCAAGTCTTCATTGCAGTGAGTGTTGAGAAAATACCTGCTACATGTAGATCTTCACAGAACGGAGGAATTCGCCAAAATAAAAAGGTTTTTCGTCTACCAGGCACACATCTCTGCCAAACATAAACCACAACAGCAGTGACACTTGTGCCAATGAAAACGACGAAAGGAGGGTTCACCTCCAGGCGGAAGCCCAGCCGCCCGCAGACCAGCCCCAGTGCACCACGACAGGGTAGATGAAGCCCAGCAGGCACATCGCGTAGATCACGTAGGCACCGAAGGTCACGCGCTCCACCACCGCTCCGGAGACGACTGTTGTGTGTGGTCCGGTACATCGAGCACAGCACGACCAAACAAGCGATTTCATTGCGGCGGTTGTCCATACCGTGGCTGGTCAACAAGGATGCTGTTTGCCTCAGTGATGGATGGCATCACTTGAGACTCACATGCACACACACAACTGCACTGAGACTGACCAATATTCATTGGTCAGCGCGTTAGGCCCGTCGATGAAAATATGAAAAGACGCACACACCCGTAGAAAAATCCACCGGTACCTCTGAGCTGCTGCGTTGACGATAACCTATTGTGATACCGCAACCAACATCCAACAATCATAATCCCTTTCTCTCTCACTCACTCGTGGCGGTGGTCGCGGCGAAGGCCCACTGAAACAACCATCCCGCCCAGTTGACACCCACGTCGTCCCCGCTGCCCCTGAAGGCACCGGTGGTGAGGAGGAAGCCGTCGGTGCCGATGAAGCCGTTGTTGCCGGACGTTTCGTACGAGTCCGACCCTAGCGCGATCCCGTACCCGGTGGTGTACCACATGACTATGTCGTGAAAAAACCGCAACGGACGCATGCCATGGTTGTCGTTATCGTGGAGAATCACATGGCATGTCGTGGATGCTTTTTGAAACAAGGCCGTCGCGCATGCAGTAGCAGCTTCCCGAACTTCCACCGCCGTACATCGAAGTCAGGGACAGCACATTTTTACTATATAAGAAAACACAGTACATATCTATCTTCCATCCATCATCGTCGCTCGCACTCTCTCAACATCGTTTGGCCGTACTCTTCCTTGACGAGGAACAGTGATCTGGGCAATGAATCAGGACATCGTACGCAAGAGGCAGGCCGTACAGCAAATCGAATCAAATCGAACCTTTTCTGAGCGACGACAAAGCACCAAGAGAACAAACACAATGTGGCCTGCAACGCTTCACATCGAACTTCATGAAAACTCCCGCGCGGCAGCCGAGATGACCGCAACCGCAGCAGCAAGACTACAAGCATGAAAGGCTGGCTGGCGTAAACCTTGGCTCACTTCCTCCTAGGCTGGCGTCGAAGACGTTCTTGATGAGAATGTTCTTGGCGTTCTTCGCCTGGACAGCCCCCACCTACGAAAAACAATAAAACCAACCGACCAAACGTGCGAGGGTGAAACGACTCATGCCTTCCGAGCCACCGCCGTAGAACGCCGAAGCGGACGGGCAGGGGACAGTGGTGCTGTGTGCTGCAATAGCGTAGGACCCCAGACCCGTGCTATCGTGCTAAATACTCGATACAGGACGTGCGCTGCGCAAATGGTCGAACAAGGCAAGCACGTGTTTCTCTCGTGTGTACTCATCGTGGCGTGTGGGATCTAAACGGCACGTTGTTTCTCTCTCTCTTGTTTAGCGAATGCGTTAGAGGCGGGGTCAAATAGCCATGGGAAATAGTCCGGCATGTTTTTAATACACTGGGACAGAGGGTTTGGAGGTATTCATCCGATCTCAGGGTTGGTTTTCTATCGTTTAGCGACAGAGGGGGACATTCGCTGTGGGCAGCTCGGATTATTCGGACATGTCCTCAATCATGCGCAAAAGTGGAGGAGACGACCTCCACACCAATTGAATTTCGCGTAAGTCCGTGGCGCGATTTACGTTGATTGCGGACAAGCAAGAGAGATGAGGGGTTGGAGGCATCAAGCAATTACGTGCACATGTCGCGATTTTCGCCACTGCCCATCCACCTGTGAACGGATTTGGTACCGTTGAGCACAACCGTGCGGGCGAAGAAGCGGGTGGACACGTATAAGCTTGATCTTCACCCAAAGCTACATGCATGGCAGCCACAGCTAAGCGATATGCCCGAGAGCAACGTCCATGACTTGTGCTAACTGGGCCGACGGGGAAACGACATCGACACGCCAGGGCGTACAGGTTTCGCTCACCTCAAGCATGGCGAATCCCGTCTGCATGACTGCAGACCGCCGATAAGGCAAACCGCGAGCAAGCCGAGGTACACCGTGTGAGTAGGCGCAACCGAGGACGGACGAGCGAAAAAAATCAGAATGAAGGTCGAGACAGACAAGACAGGTAAATAGTAGGCAAACAAATGGCAACGTAACGCTGAGCGTAATGCATTCTCGATACCAGACGTCCACGGCATGGTTTGCCGTGCAGAAGAGACGAGGAATACGACTGGCCGCGGACGGGGTTAGGCCGGCATATCGGGGTCATTCGGATGCCGTCAAGTAAACTCCCCTGTGGGTTCCCACACCGCTCCCACACACACAAACAGACAGGTCGAACGGTCCTGCATAGATAAATCAACCGAGCTGCCGTCGGGGCGATCCCCGCGACAAAATCCTTTAACAACGACAGCAACGTGTGGTTGGGTTAGGATTGGAACACGGACCCCCCGTAAACGCAAGCTCTTCCCTCGTTCAATCAGGCTCAAGAGATCTTGAGATCAATGATACTCACAGAACACCAGGACGGCACCAAACCTGTGGCGTTGTTCGGAAGGAAGAGCACGGAAGCGAGCACACGGCGAGCACACCGCGGCATCGGGAGAGAGGACCGGACGCGCCGTCAGAGCAGTCGGAACAAACAGTGGGAGAGCCTGTATTGATTGTTCCAAGGTGCTGTCTTTGAACGACGCTTTGTGCAACATTCGTCTTGGTTAAATAGGCGTGCGTCGTATGACTGATGTGATGCTGCGATTCACATTAGAAAAGAGGTTCAGAGAGCAATAGTAGACGAATTTAGTGAGGTAGTGCATTGCTTCAATCCTGGCTTACTGTTGGTTTTGCGTTGTTGGTTCTTTGGAACGATTTTCATACCATGTTATCCTAAAACGACGAGCTACAAGGCATGCAATTCCCTTACTTACTAAATCTCACCACGAGCAAGGGTATACAACTACTGTACACACGGCAGAATATGCGTTGGAGGTTTTCGGAAAAACACTAAACATTCCACAAGAGGGGCGCGCGCGGGGGGGGGGCGGGGACTCATAGTCGTCCATGCCGTAATCGTTCGACCTTTGACCTTTGACCTCGCGGGGAGGGGGGTGAGACAGGAGATACCAAACGGAGTCCTTTCATTCTGCTAAAACATGTAACCCGCAGTGCAGCACGCACAACTAGTGTTACTCAAAAAGAGAGACGTATCAAGGCCAATCTACTTCCAACCACACACACACCCATGCCGCCCCCTCACGGGGTCCCAGTTAATGTCATGTAGAAGTGTTTCGTGTTTTCAACCGCACTGAGACTGACGTCTGTTCATTGGTCAGCCGGGTGGCGAGGTCGATGCTAATAATAAATGCACACACACGGCTATTCATTGTGTCGGCCCATGAAGCTAAGTTTTGCCGGGTCATCGGTATCTCGCTATGTACATGTTGATGTATCTCCAGTCGACTGCTGCTGCTGTACGTGTTGTAGCACGTCCGTGAAACATAAACGTATCCTGCGGCACAACACAACAAGTGTTTCAGCCCAAACGAACTCCAAAGTCCTGGTTTCGAACGACAAGGCTTAGGCTAGAAGTACGTTCCGAATTTGTCGATTTAGAGTTTGGCGTAACTATCAACCATAAGTAAATAATTAAAAAAGACAGGTGAGGCGGGAAATCGTGGAGGAAATACAGGTTATAGCTTCCACCGACGCCATGGACTCATTGCTACATAATCTACACTCCAGACTCTTTTATTTATGGATTCGTTGTAGACTTCTTCAGAAATTTGGGAGGGCGGAAGAAGATCCTTCCTTTTGCACCCTTCCTTCTGGCGGCGACCACCAGCAGTAGGAGTAGTACAAGAAAAATTGTGTCGATCAAATTTGCGGAGATTTTGCGGAGATTGTAGCTCCTACTGTGTGTGTAGTCTACAGGCCATGAGTAATACTGCAGCTGCTATGGTCCGTCCGGGAAAAATTGTCCATTCGCGTTTTGGGCGAGAAGTTTTTTATAATGAGAGGTGGGACGTGAAACAACGATATTCGTGATCGCCTCGTCGAGCTACGTCGATAACTGCAGAGTTTTTTTTTTTTAGAAAATGCGACATTTGTGGCCAAAATGATCTACGGAACCCCCAATATACAGGGTACCCCGAATTCAGTCCGCAGAACCCCCTGACCATACCGCGGAACCCCAAATTATACGGCAGAACCCCCTTATAACGCCACGGAACCTCCTTACACTACCACCAGCTACCACGGAAAAAACCCTAGCTAGCTCTGTACCAATTGATACTGCTGTACATACGTATACTCCACGGTATGCTATGCATATCAAGCACCATATCGTTTCGTATTGTAAAAATTACACACATCAAGCCCAGATCATTTGCATGTTGACATTCTAGGGCGATCCGCAAGAACAACGGTCACGCACAGGTGGGGGCTACTGCCATCATTGTTGTTGTTGTTGTTGTTGTTGTCTTCACATTAAAAACCGTTCCGATCTCTCTCTACCCAGTACCTTCGTATGTCTGTACTGATACAACCCTCGACGCGGTCGATTCCCGTGGTCGCAGGCTAACTTACCCTTAAAAGGTACACTCAAATAAAACGGCCCCGAGGGGTCCGCAAGTCAATAGAAATCAACGCCAGATATTCTGGAGTCCTCCGTTCCCTCTGCGCGCTATGCGAGGTAACAACTGAAACTAGGGGTCACCATCACGGGCCGGAGAGAATGAGGTACACCCCCTTGGCATGCAAAGACCCCAAAGCATGTACCCAACACAAACGGTTAACAATCAATGATCTGTTGTAAATTCCAATGCACAGGCCAGATAGAAGTCACTAACCACCGGCACGCACTTTCCCACACCCCTACTGTCTCCACACTTTCATCGCTCTGCGCAAAATCAAACGCTGGAGAGCATGCTTCATTTTTGGCCATGACTGCTGCGGGTGCTGAGTGCCGTCGTAGGGCGTGTGGGTAATGGTTGTGCCCTCGCACAAGGGCAATGTGTGTGGTGTGGCGTGTGGTGTGTGGCAGGGAACAATTTCTTCCACCGGCAAAACAAAATGCGGAATAAATTTATCTCGCGAACCAGATTTTTATTTGAAAATCGGATTTTTTTTACTATTATATATTAGGAGAAACAAATATACACACAGAAAGACTACCCGTTCGAGGTATAACTACACTCGAAGGGGATGTGTTGAAATATACATATGTAGGAATGGAGAATGACGAGAGGAATTGATTGCCGTGGTCGTTTTCAAGCTCCGTGCTGGCATATCGGAGAGAAAAAGAAATCCAACTGGTCTCCAAAATCCAGTTTTTCGTCGAGAACTTCTTTGTATTTCAAATCAAACTCGGGAAAAAATTAGGCCTGGGGGATTCCGAGAGCTGTCGAAATCCGGTCTCAGAATTGTGTTCTGATAAAAAGACACCCCAGGAAAAAGAAATTCGAGATTCTCCGGTCATTTGCTAATAATAATAATAATAATAATAAATGAGATAAATGATCAATGAAAAAGAAAACGGTTTCCACAGGGACACGTGCCGGAGAGGAGCGCGTTTCCCGGTACTTCCATTTTTCGGAACAACCCCCCCACCCGCGAGAGAATCTGACATAAGTGCAGGTCCGAATTATGGACAAATTGTCCCGGACGGACCAAACTACTGCTGCTGTGTACGATCCTCGATATCACCACCACAGAAGCAGATTTGAGCGCGCCAACACACTCTCCTCGCTGCAATAAGGTGTCCTCTAGTGATATCATTAGTACTAAGGTGCAGTTCGAATGCAAACTGACCCTATTTAGCGCCTGCCTGCCGTTTGGCGCTTTGACTTGAATGTAGGGTCGTGAAATTTTTTGTCTTGATTTCAAACGGGGCGTGTGGAGGTAGACTCGTGACATGCATGCTTTGAGCAGCCTTTACTGCCGCCCAGTGCGAGAATCAACGGTGTTGCCTTTCGCATGGCTTCAGACTAGTCTTTGTGTCAGCATTTTCTGGTGCTCTTCCTTGGTTGCTTTCAAAATGAGTGGACATGACAATATAAGTTGGTTTCCCTGTTTGTATTTTCGGGGTTCGTCGGAATGAACGGTGCATGCATCCTGTTTGTACTTTCATGTGTCGTCGGTATTTTGATATTCAACTGCCACGTGCTGCAGGCGAGATGGAATTCCTTTCGCCCACCGCCCACCGACTGTGCAACTCACACCCTTTGCAGGGGAATCTCGACATACATATTACATGATGACCAGAATGATTGAACAATGCGCGACAGAGTATGTAGCGGGCCCGAGGATCAAACGAATAATTAATGGGAGAAATGTTATGTTTAGCTAGACAAACAAGGCACCTAAAAACTACGCATCCATTAGTCCATGCAACATCCTCGTTTGTACATCATTGAAGCTCGAGAGAACGCACCACGTGGGGGGCGTTTGATATATGCGTGCGTTGCGCTACAAAAGTGCATGCATACGCTGCACTTTCCATCATCTAATTCCCCTTCGATGTGAGCTAACAGCGTGACGGTGACACGCTGTAGGTTGGATCGTGCGGCGGCTTTGTGCCACCATGCGATTTTTTTCGAACGGCCGAGATTCGATTCGACTCTGTTCGATTGCACATAATAAAAACACACCTGGCAGATAGAAGTGTTTTGTGTTTTCAACCACACTAGACTGACGTTTTTTCATTGGTCAGCCGGTTAGCGCGGTCGATGCTAATAATAAACACACACCCGCTGAAAACACGCACGCTCTTAGTGCGCAAGCTGGTGGTTGAATCGGAGAACGAATTGCCAGACGCATATGCATATCCGACGCCCGAAGTAAAAGACCCGCGGAGGTGTGGGTGCGTGCGCGCGCCGGACACCAAGAGGCGTGCTGAACAGCGGGCAAACAAGTGTGCCGTTCCTTCTGTGGCATGTCACGTTGGCGGCTGTCGTTGAACTGAACTGAACGGATGATATGATTGATTTTGCTTACATGAGCCAAAACGTGTTGACGCTGATCTCCTGGCCGCTGACTTTGCCTTCGATGCATGCCGCGAACGTTTCGAGGTCGGTGATGTCGCAAGCGTCAGCCATAATCCTAGATGCCCTTCGAAACCGGTCGGAATGAAGAGGAAACCAAACGAGTGAGCTGGGGGGGAGGATAAAACGACAAAACTTCAAGACGTGTGGATCCTTGTACGAAGTTGCAAAGCCAGCTTAGATGTATGTGTACTTTCGTTGGTTCGCGAGTAGACTCTCGGCCAGTGCACTTTTTACGAGGCGTGCTTACCCCTTTGTCGACAAAATAAAGTTTATGGAATATTCTCGGTACACAAAATAGGTTCAGGATTTGGAACCCTTCTTGAGAACCTAGCGGTTGCGGTCGATAGACTTCTGCAGCGCCTGGAGGGTCTTCGCCGACCCCAGTGCCCCTGCCGACGCGACGTCGCTGCCACTTCCCCTGGAGCCCCCGATATCGCTTCCCCTCGAGCAGCCGCCAGCGCTGTCCCTCGAGCTGCCGCCGCCGCTCCCCCTACCCATCTCCAGGTCGCCATCCGGATCCATGGTGAACGAGTCATCCTAGCTGGCGCTCCCAACATCGATGCTGTCGTGGCTGCCTCGCGCTTGTTCATCGTCGCCGTCACCAAAAGCAGGGTACTGCATCACGACCGCCACTTAATTCCTGGCATCTTGTCTTCTTTCCGTTTCCCGAGGAGGCAGGAACAGCAGTGGCCACCACCTTACGGGGGCGGCCAGCTCCACCCTCGCTCTGAGTGTTGGTGGCGGCAGCGCCTTCTGTGATTCCGGGTAGAAGCTTCTGGCTGCTGGGCAGCAAGTCTCCACCGCCTTCGGCGGCCCCAAGCGAGCCGTTTTGACTGAATTTTGCCGGGGTTTTAGTTTGCCTACCACGCTGGGTCGTTGTGGCCTCCATGCTGTTGTCCATGTTTCATTGTCCTCTGTGGGGTGTGGTGTCTGTTGGAGGCAATCGTGGAGTGAGAGCTGCTGGAGCTGCGTCTCATGAAGAGGGAGTATACTTTTGGAACCTTTCCAAGGAGTCCCGATTAAAATTGATCTTGCTCTGTTGGTCCAAAATTTAGAATCGTATTTTTGGAATTTGGAACAGAGATTTGGCAACGTTTAAAACGGTCCTTTTTAACCGCTTCGTGTGTGTGTAGGAGATCTGCGCTTTTTGGGGGGTTCCTTTACCTATCGTCCAACTCCCGGGGACGGCCATCTGTTGTCAGAGCGCGATGAAAACTGTGTGACGAATAACTCTAATTAGAATCCTCCTCACAACCCAGCAGGTAGAAAATGTGCTCTATACACCTCGTTCTCGTCAATTAAAGGGATATTGTTTTGACGTACCATTCCCCGGGGGATGTTGCGAATGGGTCGCTCTACAGCGCGATGGTCGAACAAGCCCGATAAACAGAGCCTTTTTTTCCCTCCTGAGGATAAGGGAAAGAATGTCGCGCTTCGCGCTCCTACGTTCCGAGAGGTGGTGGGGATGTGGATCGCCAACCAGACGAGGCCCGACATCTCAAATGCTGTGCGGGCGGTGGCGAGGCTCTCTCACGAGCCAAAGAAAAGCCACTGGAAGGCGGCCCAGAAGATTCTGAATTATCTTCTGGAGACGGCACATTAAAAAAACTTTGAAGTACAAGCAGGACACTATGGTAGACGTAGGCACGTTGGTGTACGTAGACGCAGACTTCGCCAGTAAGGCCACTGACCGTAGATCAGATTTGGGAGCACTACTAGTTCTTGTAGCTGACTGTCTTGTTGCTTGGATTTCTAGGACGCAGAAATGTGTCACACTTTCAACAACTGAAGCAGAGTATGTTGCGATGGGTGACGGTGTAAAAGAGGCTCTGTTTGTCAACGGAATGCTCGAGTTCTTGAGGCCTAGTCTAGTGATAGAATCGGTAAGATTCAGATACGAGAGGACAACAACGAGGGTGTGATTGCACTTGCTGAGAATCCACTCAGTTCGTGTAACAGTAAGCACATTATTGACGTGAGGCACCACTTTCGCACGAATTCGACAGAGGAGGGAGTGTTGGAAATCAGGCATGTCTCTAGCGAAGGACAGCATGCGGACATTCTGACGAAGGCTCTGCCGAGAGATCTTTTTGAAGTTCATCGTAATTTTGCTCTAGGTTTGATTTCTGAGAAGTAGTCTTAAGAGACCTGAGTTGTGTTTTATTTTGGTTGAAGTTGTTATTCTGATATTCATGTGATTGGTCGAGACAACAGCCCCAAGGGAGGGTGTTCGTGATAGTTGCTGCTGTGTGTGTCGACAGAGTGACGTAGAACAACTTGAT